TGTCTTTGTTTAGGGCGGAAGTGGTGTAGTGACAAGTGGCGCGCTCACCACGCGAGCGGTCCGGGATCAAATCCTGGGTCGTGAGTCGCCCGGGCCAACCAAGCCTTCCATCCCTCCGGGGTCGGTTAATTGGTACCAGACTTGTCTGGGAGGATAAAAAACACTGACTTGAACATCGGCTGGCCCCCGCAAGTCATTGTATAGGCCACATCGCATTCAAATGCCACTGCGAATGTACAAATGGAAGTAGAATGCGTGCCGCATCCCAAAAGGGATTGATCAACGGCAAATGCTTTATCCTTTATCCTTTAAGGGTTGAAGGTAAAGTCCTGAAAGGAACACCCATCACTGACCCTATCGTGTCATTTCAATCGGCTTACAATAATAACTATGAGGTGAAAATCGTGTGGGGTGAGGCAGATTTGGCGAATATGGCGAAGCAAAGGCGGTCCAGCTTAGTCCAAGTCTTCTAGATTGAGACCGAAGATACGTGCACACTCAAGTTGTCGTAGAGCAGATAAACTTGTCGCTGTTCTCTGTAAGGTTCCTTTTCCGGGTCAAGGGAGCTAGCTCCGTCCCAACAGAGCGTGTTAGCAGTGCCGAAAATTGAGCATGGTTATAGCAAGAGGAATAGACTTCCAAATGCCTCTGCAACTTTGAACCAGCTTTGGCCCCGTGCGCGGCCTATCAGAAAACAAGCCGACCGCGTTAGATTCGAGTTATTACGCACATAGAGACAGCTTTAGATGAATTCGTGTGTATTTGGGCCAAATAAAACAACTTAATGCAGCGCTATGGAAGATACTTCTCGAGGCCGAATATAAACGCTTTCGGGAGCCAAATTTTTGTGGGGAAGCTTCTTCAAAAGCTTGTGAAACAAGTTTCGTAGTTATAAAAATGTCTTTGCTCCTCCCCAGCAAGCGTTTTGAAGGAAGCTGTGATTGCTGAAAGCACAAAAACTAGAAGCTACTGCTCAAATAACTAAGGAAAAAGTGGCAAAGGTGGTGATTTTTTCAAAGTTCAACTTCCTTGGTTGGGCGCTTGTTAGAAAGCGCAATTCCTGTATGCTTTCCTGCCTTGCTAAAGTTTTGCCACATAAATAAAAAAATAGGAAAGTTATTGCCAATGAAAGTTCAAACTCGCGTTTTCAGAAAAAGTGATAACCAGAACCAAAACCCCTAAAAAATGGCGAATGTGGACCCACACCAGAAAATTCACACGCTGAAGACTCTGCTACTCAGTTTATTGATATTATAGCTCAGTATAGTACAGCTCAATGACGTTCAGTTATATGGCAACAGGGGGTGGGCGCACTTGGATCCTCCTGCAAAAATTCCAAAAAAAAAATGTAAACGTGACGGTTGACCCTGGTACTACCCGTAGTCAAACGGTACTTTTCAGGGAAATTTGTAAGCTATTTCGATACAAAGCGCCCTTTTCAAGGTAGAGCCTTGTGTAAATTGAATTTTTATGCTTCAAAACAATTCGTCACACATTGTAGGGTACCCTGGAGAACTTATCAAAGCACGTCCAAGCGCATGTAGATGGTCACTGGCGATGAGCGTAGTTCCTAGGCAGAAAATTGCGAGCATCGTAATGCCATGTTTTCAATATTGTAACAATGTGTAAGCCTAATTCATAAGCGATCTGATAATATAGGTATATCGAAATTTTCATTCGGACGAAGATGGTGGGGTGGCAAGTGGGGCTGCCATAGCATGCATGTTTCGTGGATCAAATTCTTAGAAATCGCGCTTATGTCAGCCAAAGTTCTGTAGATAAATATTCGCTACTAGTAGCACGGATACCACACACAACACATTAAACTCTATTATTGAGACTGCTCAACTGAGGTATCGACATCTGGTGAGGTTTTGATGGCAAATGCTCGATAAGATTCTTGTACATGATTACACATCAGAAAATGGATACCGTAATAGTCGGTTATATGTTTTAAACAAACGCTAGATGAGCTTCTCTGTTCGCGTCAATTTGACTCGGAAAGGCTCAAGTAGTCCTCATCAATAGAAAATCAGAAGTGAGAAGTATTTTCAGAACGATATCATGGAAGAACTGTTTGGAGTCTATACGGAAATGATTGGTGAAGAATTGGAGGAAGTTCCTCTAGTCTCGTGATTGTTTATTCGGAGACAATTAAATAGTTCTGAATACAACGTGACTCTTTCACGGGCAACGGTTTACATTGTACACAAATTAATGGCTTGGCTACAGAAAAGGAGCCGAAGTAACTAAAGGCCATAAAAAACTATAGTATATTCAAGCTGCTGATGTCCAAAAGACTTCATTACTCAGTCTCGTTTCACCGTCGGGCTTAATGTGCATTCTCGTCAATTGTAGCAATTATATGCTGCACAGCGAATTTAAGTTATGAAAAAGTCGCAGAAGTTGCTAATCACACCAGAAATGTTTGCTTGTAAGTTTGTTTATTTAAATGTTTGTATGTTTGTGTGTTTGCTTGTTTGCTTGTTTGCAATGCAGCTGTGTAGGTCGGAAAAAATTTCAACTTAGCTTCACAGCCTCCAGAGGAAACACATTGGACGAATGGAGGCTGGAGGACGTATACAATTATCGCAACGAAAAAAGAAACGGCCTTACTAGCCCGCCCTAGGTTCTTAGAAGGACAAAGAGTTGATTTCTGGCCTGAGACGCTTTTTAGGCTTTAATAGCTTCTATCACGAAAACCAGGTTCCCACTAGTCATCCTTTGTCGTGTTATACCCACAATCTTGGTTTCATTTTGCTTCATAATGGGTGCAAGCTACGCATAAGTTTCAGTTTCTTTTCGAAAATAAGTGGAAACTTGGGATGAAGAAGCTTTCGTTCAAAATATACGGATAATTACCAGTACTTTTCGCAAAATCGACTTCTGAATTGGCCAACCAGTTCTTTACTGGCTATCAAAAACAAGAACAAATTATTTTGTCACCTGCAGACTTTCGGGATTTTCTCCCTCTAATGAGAGCACTCAGTAGGATTTTATTCTTGAAAAGAAGAGAAAAGTATAGTATGAAGATATAGTAATCTGACCAATTTTGCTCTGTCGTGAAAGTTTCAAACTTCGGAGAGCAAACATCTGCCACGTGTGGGAAAACGCCCTAGAGGTAGGCAATTAAGTTGAGCGTGGGACTTATGTATGGAAACTGATTGTGGACTGAAAGGACTGATGGCGAAATTATGGCTTTTGGAACAACATAGGAGGGAAAGAGTGTTTGAATTGAGGTGTGCGAAAAATGCAGTAAAAAAGTGAAGCCTTCAAAAAAATCGAGTCTAGATTATTCTGTTCAGGTATTCCATCACAGCAAAGTTGAAAAATCACCTTCTTGTTGTGGTCCTTTTCGTTTTCCTAGATTACAAGGAATGACGCTTGAGATTGCCGTGCTTAAGATTGACATATTTTTAAATATCTTGTTTCCAGGCATTAGCTTTGTAGCGAAATTTCGATTCGTACAACAGCGATCCTACAACATGAATGAATGAAGTCTGAGAATGTGCCGTGATTTGACCCTAGCTTTGACATTCGTCGCCACCACCATCAAAGCTCGACGAGAACGAGCTCGAAGCAATTTTTGGAGAAGTTTTCCAAAGAATTCGCACCTTCCTCAAGGTCATCGTCGATTCGTTCAAGCCGCGGCTGATTCTGGAACATCGGCCAAAGAATTTCGTGTCGAGGCTCGAGGTTCACTGAAGTAGAATAAGAAGGAGTAGGTGTTCCCCACTACCACCATCTAAGGTATTTCGCAGTTCCGAAATTCCTCTCACAAGGGAGGTCTTTCAGGACATGGAGCGCTTTTTCGAAATGGTTTTCTGCATGTTGTAGGGGCTCATGCGAGGAACACAGAACCATGATCCATTTTTCCTGAACGCCTCCAGGAATGTCAAAACAGTGGTGA